AGGAAGATCTGGAGGGTGATTCCATTGTCAGTGATGTGGTCTGTGTGGAAGTGCAGGAATGAGTGTGTATTTAGAAAATCTATCCCAAATCTGGAGGACCTTTGTGATTTAATTAAATATAGGGTTGCATTTTGGTTGAAGCTAGTCTTCAGTGAGTTTAATTTCTCAGTCCAGGATTTTGTGTTTAATCTGAGGCAGGTGAGGGAGTGCTTGGGTGGGTGTGCTGGTATGGTGTCCTGAGCTGTGATGTGCTGTCAGATATTTGGTAGGGTAGGCTGTTTTGAAATACGGTGGACTGGTCTTTGGTGGTAGGGTTTAAGCTGTGTTGCTGGGTGTAAACAATACATCGGGTTGGCTGATGTGGGGCAGTGTAATGCTCAGTTTTTGGGCTGATAAATTGCACTGAACAGGTGTGTAGGGGTAATGTGGGAGGTCTCTGGTCTGATGTGGAAGTCTGTACAAAGGAGCTTGATGAAGTTGTTCTTACTGGTTTGTGTGGACTTAATTGTTTCAATTGGGGTTGCTGATTTGTGGTGCTGATATGTGGTGCTATCAGTTGTGGTAACTGATTTGTGGTGCTATAGTGCTGATTTGTTATGTTGCTTGGGTCCATGTGGCTGTGTTGCTGTCTCTTGGGTCTAGCAGTTGAGTGGTAGTCTGGTGAGTGGTAGTCTGCTGCTGTATCTTGGGTCCATGTGGCTGTGTACCTGTCTGCTGCTGTGCGAGAACTCTACCATAAATTGCTCCCTCCACTGTGTGTGAATACCTCTGTTTTGGCTGATTTTGCTGCAGTTTTTCAACCTCTGGGAGTTTTTGGTTTTGTTATTTTGTTTTTGTTCTCCCTCTCCTTCTATCTTTGTTGGTTTCTCACCAACTGGCACTTGGGACTGTTCAGGCCCAAGCTCCTCTTTATTGATGTAAACTTCATTCCTTGAATGTTTTTTCAATAAAGATTTTCTTTGCCGATCAAAAAAAAAATATGGGATGGTATTGGAGCCATTTCTTTATTGATTATATCTTTGTTTTACATTGAAGTAATCAATAAAGTTGTCTTTTGCCTATCAAAAAAAAAAATGGGTCGGTATTGGAGAAGAGCCAACAATGGCATGAGAGAAAATGTCGAGAAACGATAGAAAAGGCCATTGAAATTTTGCAAAGGGCTATCCACCATGAGATATGAAATAACATTAGAGAAACAAAATCTCCAAGTAATGGTTGGAAGATGCTGGACTCTATTGCCTACAATCGTAGAAGAGAATTTTCTTTCTTTTTTTTTTTTCCTATTGAGTATTGGCTACAATGTTTTGAAAAAGATAAGCTAAGAAAAGAGAAGTGTAATGGTGAAAATACACTAATGGAGGAAGTAGAGAAGGGTAATCCAATTGAAGTTAAATAAGACAAGGAGACCTCTTCTATCTGTAGCTCAATCGCTTAATGGTTGAACTCGATTTAACCATAGCCATCGGATTATGCTGCAAATGATTGGACATGCCCTTTTGTGTCAACTTAGTTAGGATTTTTGGGTATTTCTATGATACTTATAGCATTTTCAAGCTTTTCTTTCTTTGTTGATTAATGATATAAGGTTTTACGTTGATTGTTATCAATAAAGTTTATTTTACTGATAAATAAAATAAGATGAGAAGACCAAAAGGACAGACATAAGGAATATATTAATGATGAGAGTTTTTTTTTAGTAAATCTCATTCTTACAGACTTATATTCTGTCTAACCCATATTCTTTTTGACTATTCCATTAAGTTTTATTTAGTATGATATGACCAAATCATCCTTCCAACTTTCTGTGCTTGTTTCTATTTTGAAATAAATACACAATAAAAAATAATTATAATTTTCTTATTTCATAGAGAAAATCTCTCATCATTCTAGGAAAAAATTCCTCATTCCAGGAAAAAAATCTCTTTCTTATTCTATGGAGAAAATATTTCCCTCATTTTAGGGAAAAAAATATCTTCTTTATTCCAAAGAGAAAATTTCTCACACTTTCAAAATCCTAAATTGTCTACCTTCTGAAAATCCCTCACCAATCATCTTCTTGTTTTTGTCTTGTTTTGTTCTGCTCTGTTTGTTGGTTTCTCACCATCTTGGAGCCTCGAGTGTGTGCTAGCAGATGATTGGGTGTGCGTTTTGGTGCCAACCTAGTTGGGATCCAAATGTTTCACTGTGATGCTTTTTGCACCCTCTTCTTTATTGATGTATTCTTATCATACTTGTTATGTTTTTCATCAATAAAGCTTTTCTTTTGCCGATCAAAAAAAAAAAAATGTTAATTTGAACTTTCATATTACAAATGAATGCCAATAAATAACATCTGCTCATGGAACCATATAACACTCAATGTTACATGAGTATGTGAATATTAATATTGGGTGCGACTATCTATTTGTATTATAGAATTAATGTGAACATTCAGGTCTCTATGTACACATTATGTTTGTGATCAAAATAACTCATTGTTGTTTGCACAAATATGACTACTAATATATAATTAACCTTCGAAAAAATAAAACAAATACCAAAATACAATGTTAATATTCACAATAAACAACAAACATACCACCAACCTTCAAAAAAATAAAACTCATATCAAAATACAATGTGAATATTCACAGTTTACAATTAACCTAACATACAACTATTCTTAAAAAGTTGTACTTATTCCAATGTGAACATTCACGTTGCAACATAAAAATATAAAACAAAATTGAAAAGAGTAAAAATCGACTATTTCAATTGCTCAATAGTAATAAAAATGATTGTTCAACCAACAAATATAGTAACAAAAACAACAAACATACAACTAACCTTTAAAAAAAAAAAATCATACCAAAATACAATGTGAATGTTCACAGTTTACAATTAACCTTTAAAAAAAACTTAACCCATACTAATTTGAACATTCACACTGCAATATGAAAACACGAAAGAAAATTAAAAAAGTGAATCAACTATTTCGATTGTTCAATGACAATAAAAATGATTGCTCAACCAACAAATATAGTAAAAATCAGTATACAACAAATCATCTACCAATATATAACAAAATCATCAAATAGTTCATATACATTGATGTACTTTTTTAGAAAAATCTGTATATAATCAACTCCAGCATAATACCGGCAAATAAACTACACAATATCGATGACTATACAAACCGATGAAGATACTACGGTTTATGTAGAACAATGGCAAAAAAAATATTTATCACCAGTTTACTATCATCTTTGTTGCGAGTCTGTCATCATCTCTATCACTGGTCTATATGTAAAACTAACATTCTCTTCCAAATACTCTTCCATGTAAAAACCTTCTTGTAAAATAATGATGAAGGAAGATGGTTGATCAAATGAATCCCTCACATTGAGGCAATAAAATACTAAAAATAATAATATTCTATATTTATATATAGTATTTTATATATATATATCATAAATGAAATATATCTAATAATAATTTTCTCTCTCCTAGATATATGATATAATATATATTATAATAAAAGCTTATAAAGGTAAAATAGTCCATATAATACTTCTAATACGGGAAAAATGACCTATTGGAATATAAGTTCAAATTTATAGGATTAGGTGAAAAACAAGAATACTTTGTAAACTTATTGGGTTATAAATACTTTAAATGAGATTCATAAATAAATCTCTCACTAATGATTAAGTTGAAGTAGTTGTGTTGATGAAATAGAAGAGAATATAGTTGAAAATAAAATGGGGTTCGTGAAAATTTGAAAATAAAGAAAATATAATTATGTGTATTTCTTCATCTCCAAATTTTCACAAATATATTAAATTGAAAATATATTTGTGTAAAATAAAAGGTGAACAAAACCTAAAATTTCAACTATGTAAGCCACATAGATCCTTCTTCGCCATTATGCTTTTTGGAAGACCATAGTATCCATTAATAAAGTGGTATATGTGGTTACCTAATAAGTGAAATTAGGAATTATCACAATATTACAGAAATTTTGATTTTTTTAGGCAAAATCTTCTAAGAAAATAATAAAATGAAATATGTAGGGTCAAGCTAATGGACAATGCATAACCAGGAAAATTATTTGGAATTTTATCCAGAATTTAAATGTATGGACAAATTTCATTTTGGCTATGACTCAAGTATGTTTTAACTTAAAAATTACACCACACATCCTACTTTATGAGTAAAACTTTGGTAAAATTTTCTGGATAATTAGATTTTCTGAGTAAATTTTTGGTAAAATTTTCTGGCTATGGCTCAAGTATATTTTAACTTTAAATTTACACCATAAATCCTACAATAAATTTACACCATGCATCCTACTTTGCACCATACATCCTACTTTATTAGCTAGCCTTGGTTTCACAATCAATGAAAGATGGTAATGATGCAAAACCCTAAATTTTAGATGATCTGAAATGGAAAAAAATAAAAAAGCTTCTGCAGAGAGGTTAATTTACAACAGATTACAAATGAGATCATGAAATTACACCAGATATTCAGAGAAGGAAAGCAATACTTAGGGTTTTATATAGATCAAATTGTACTCCACTTTTATTTTTTATTTTTTATTTTTTTATTGGCATTAAAGTGTCCGCATTAAAATCCGACTAATTCCTAAGATACACAGGCTGTTGGCAAGAGTTTTCCAAAGTGTACCGTGATTAATTCAAAAGCTTTTTCCAAATTCAATAGTCCAAAAAATTACTAGCATGGAAGAAGTTTCAATCCCTAATTTTGAAGGAGCACAACCCAATAAACAATATACATATACCAAGATCCAATCAGCTAGTTGTATTTGATCAGAGAGAGAGAGAGAGAGAGAGGGTTTCAATCTGATGTAAAAACCCAGCTGTCATCGTATATGAATACTTAACAAGTACATGAAATCTCTGAATAATATCTCAAAAAAACCATACCTTTGTCAAGCCACATATATATCAAACAAACAAAAACATTGTGAAAAGAAAATTGAAAAACAAGAAACATACTTGGAGCTTGAAAAATCATAGAGCCTTCCTTTCTGAGAGAAGATTATCACAGCCACTTCAGCATCACACAGAACTGATAGCTCATAAGCCTTTTTCAAAAGCCCATTTTTCCTCTTTGAAAAAGTCACTTGTCTGTTTGTTACATTCTCAATTCTCTTCAACTGAACTTTCCCTCTCACCATCTCCTACATATAATCACATATATCCAAACACTCCTTATATATCAATTCAACCTAGGTCTGAAAAATAGCTCAAGTAAAGAGAATTGAAGAAGAAGAAAAAAAATTTAAACTCACTTGAGATAGCTAAGAATCCCTGAAAAGGTGGTCTTGAGCTCAGATTCTAGAAAAACACTCACAACCCTAGATAATGTCACAGGAGCACAGAATCATTCGGAAGCAAAGTATTGGCAAGTACAGTCAAAACCCTAAAACCCCAAATGATCTACATCAAGAAACCCAGGAAAATTGAGAGAGAAATGGACTTGAAGCTTTGAAGATCCCAACAAGAACAACCAAAAAAACCCAAAAATATTATATTTTCACACACACATCTTTTGATTGTTGAGGAATCAAGCTCTTTACTTTCAAACCTCAGAACTCAATATTCTCTTTGTCTTTCACTATCAAGCACAGAAAAGTTTGTATATACCCCACAAATGGAAAACCCAACAGCTAATTGAGGGGGAAAAAATAAAGAAACATATATTATAGAAACCTTATTGTTATCTTGTTTTGGTAAAAACTTGAAAAGGGTTGAGAGATAAAGAAACACTGATACAGGGAAACAAAAAAAGGTTAAACAAGAACATAAAAAGAAAGTTTAATAATAAGAAAATAAAATGAGGAATTGTTTTCAAAAAAATAGGACAAAATTATCGTACTATGATGTGACTGTTGGACGAACCATAAATCGACAACGCATGGAAGAGTTATTAACTTTGGGACATCTTGAGAACAGACCGTACCACATGGCTAACCTTGTTTGGTGCGTTATCTTAAGTAATGCCTGTCCTTTTAAAATAAATAATCAAAAAAAAATTTCTAATAATAAAACAAATTTTTAATTTAATCAATTTAAATTATATTTTTTTACTTTATTTTTAATTTAAATTATTTGAATAAATCGTTAAGTAAAACTCGAGTATTTTAATTATTAAATCGTTAAGCAAAACTCAATAAAAAATAATATTTTACATATTTTTGTATATTTATATTGAGTTTAATGATATTTTTTTTTGGTTAATTTTACTTAATAAAGAGAGATCAATGATTTAGATTAAAAATAAATCAAATTATTTGAGTTTATATTAATAAAGTTTGAAATTTGTTTTTAATCTCCAACTCCAACAACAGAACAAAATTCTCATTCTACAATACAGAAATTATCATGGCCAAACCTCAAAGTGTCTCAAAAAAGTCAAATTAAATAAATTTTTAATTTCAAGTTAAAAAAATTTAAAAAATCAACTAAAAAAATTAATTACTAAACGGCAACTAATTTTAATTTTTGAACAAAAGATTAAAATTGTCTCTAGACTCTAGGTATAGAGATCAAATTATTTAATTTTAAATAATAATGACCAAAATAATATTTACGTGTCCTACAATACACCGACATTTGTGGTATCATAACTAAATTAGTTTCAGTCATAATTAAAAAAATATAATTAATCATAACTAAATATCAACATAACCAAAAACATTTTCAATTATAAAAAAAAATAACTATAATAAATCATAACTAATATCAAAATAAATTATAACTAAGTCATAATCAAAAGATATAACCGAATACCACTTGAGGCATAATAAAAAAATATTCAGTCATTGATAAGACTCTCTCTGCAGCAGCACCAGATTGGTCTGCATCAGCCTCAAGAACAGATTGCTCTGCATCAACCTCAAGAACTCAAGATAGTTAATTAAGCAGTTAGTTTGTTAAACCCAAGTTAGTTAGAGTTTGTTATAGTTTGTTAAGAGTTTGTTACATGGCATCTGTATAAATATACAATGTATCTTATCATAAAAAATGATACAAAAGATTCAATTGTTCTTTAGTCATAATCAAAATAAAAATTACAAGAACGTATAACTAACCAAGTCATAATTAATATTACAATAAATCATAATTACGTCATAACTAACTACAGTAAAAATCATAAGTGAATATATTTTTAAAGTATGTATTATAGAGCAAACTAATGAAGTTAAAAGTATAATTTACCCTATTTTAGAATGATAGATAGAGGACCAGACAATGGTCTAATAGTAAGCACGTGCCTATCAAAATGCAATGAAAAATAGATTACATTCATTGTTAAAGTTAATTGTTCCTACTATTTGAAAATTTTGAATTGACATTACTTCATCCTTTGTGATTGGAATGTTTAGTTTCGTTTTTAGTAGACTATTTTTCACAATTTAAGAAGACATGATGCATCATCTATTTTTCCCTCATCTATTTTTCCTTGTGTTCTCTACTTAACTCACTCTTTGCAACGATTAAGATTCATCTAAAGATAATCTACTGGCTCAAATCACTTTATTAAAAAAATTAAAAATTAAAAAGTAATTTTTTTAGAATGATCTGAACTATTGAATTTTTTAAAGATGAATCTTGACCATTGTAAGGAGGGAGTGAAATAGAGAAAGAAATGAGAGGATCCTTGCTTGTGTCAATAGCCATGAGAGCACAAAAATGATAGATATGCTCTTGCATAGAATAACATTTCTTCACTTTTAGAATGAAAATTCTTATGTTGTGTGTTTGGTTTGAGGATTTGGAAAGGGATTTAGAAAGGAAAATAGAAAAGATGTGTGAAACTATGTAAAATATAAGTATATTTTATTCACATTTCACCTACCTTTTCCATTTCTTTTTCCAAATCTCTCTCTAAATCTCCCAACCAAGCACAGCAAGAAATTTGTCTATCAAAACTGGAAGGAGAAAATTTTGTTTGTCGAAGACTGACCATTGACCTCCTTAATACAAAAAGTCAAAAAAAATAGAATCACTGTATTAACTTATACTTCAATAATAAAAGACAATGAAAATGATTGAAAAGATAAATCTTCAACAATAATATCAAACAGTATGGGGGAATAACAAATAAACCACCACCCTCTCACAACATTAAGAAAATTTATGTGTATTGTGACATCACGTTTTGGAGTCTTGCAAGAATAAAAAATGAAAAATTGCAAATACATTGAGCAGTGAGAAAAAAATTACACTATAAATAGAATTTTTTTGGAGTGCAACTTTGACATACAAAAAAAGTTGTACCAAACATAAAAATAAATTTATACAATACACATAAGAGAGTTGCACCATCATAAAAATGTAACTTTTTTCTCACTGCTCTACTGAAATGTAATTTTTTCAACAATAAATAAGGACAATAAGAGAGATGAAATGCAAATCCAATATTACTTTTTATGGATAGGACATATTAATTTACTCTTATTAAATAGTTGAGAGGAGAATGGTTATCCACTTAGGTTCTATTTGTTTCAATATAAAATGTTTTACAGGATGTAATATTTTTTACTAGCAAAATAATTTCATTAATCTTGTTTTTTTGATGTTTAGCTATGAACCTTCTAGATAATGCAACCAACGTGAAAAAAACAAATTCTAAAAAAATCATTGCAAGGGCACAGTCTAACTAATAGTGAATTAGTCATTCCCCAAAAACTCAGCTTGCTTCATACATACAGTTTTTTTTTATCCGTAAAAGAAACTTTATTGATGGGAAACATACAAAGTGTGTGGGTAAAAATCTGACCACACTGCCCGTTTAGTGATCAGCAGCAAAGCACCGGCAGAATAGATGGCTCCAACAACCTGTAACAGAAAGGAAAAGCTCCGGCGGTGGTTCTTCCACCCGGGGCTTGGCCTTTTATTGCTGTTCTTGGCCTGAATTCCAGGTCAAACTGGCCCAGTGTTACTGCCCATTTTGCTATCCTTCCTGTTAGGTCTCCTTGATGTAATAAGGATTTCAGTGGGTGCACTGTTAGGACCACAATCTTGTGTGCCTGAAAGTAATGGCTCAATTTCTTTGAAGCCATTACCAAGGCTAGCATTAATTTTTCCAGTGGTAGGTATCTTGTTTCTGCGTCAGCCAAAGTCTTACTTACATAATAGACAGCCTTCTGCTCCCCTTTTTCCTCTCGGATTAGCACTGCACTGACTGCGTGTTCAGAGACTGCTAAGTACAAAAACAATTCCTCCCCTGGAATTGGGTTAGAAAGGACCGGGGTTGTGGTCAAGTATTTTTTTAGCGGCTAAGGCACAGCTTCACATTCTTCTGTCCATAGGAAGTCTGTGGCTTTTTTCACCAGGTTAAAGAAGGGTCTGCACTTGTCTGAGCTTCTGCTGATGAATCGGTTTAGGGCTGCGGCCCTTCCAGTGAGCACTTGAACTTGCTTTGCCGATGTTGGACTCTGTAGTTCCAGGATGGCCTTGATTTGGTCTGGGCTGGCTTCAATGCCCTTTCTTGTTACCAGGTACCCTAGAAATTTACCTGACCCAACTCCGAAGGCACACTTCGAGGCGTTGAGTCGGAGTCGATAAAGAGGAAGGAAGTCCAATGAGCAACCCAAACGGATGCTAGCACAAACCTTACCATTGGTGAGAAACCAACAGAAGAAAACCACAAAAAAAAAAAAAAAAAAAGATCGAGGCCAAAAACAAAGGAACTAAAGCAGCAACTACTGCCAAAACCAGAGCCAAATGAGACATCAGACATGCAACCTGATCTGGTGGAGGCTGGACGCAAGATCATGAACTGAATAATCAACCTTCAAGAACCATTTGGCCTACAAAGCAATCTGCACCTTCATCCTCTCGCATAATTCTTCAAAATCTGGAATAACCCCCTTGAACAAACAATCATTTCTCAATTTCCAAAAAGACCAAAGCACAACTGAAGGAATTACTTGCCACAATCTGAAGACCCAGGACTTCAATTTTCCACCTGACCACCACAGTAGCAAACCCTCAATAGAGCCATAAATAACCCAAGATTGATCCCACCAATTGACCACGTGTGCCCAGCACTTCCAGGCCAGAGGGCAAAACAAAAACACATACTCCAGAGACTCTACCTTAGTGTGGCAGAAAACACACTGAATATCAGCATTGGTAGCTAAAACCCTAATCCTATGAAGGAAGGAAGAGGTCTTGACTCTACCTCTCCAAGCCAATCAACAAAAGAACTGTACTTTTGAGGGAGCCAAACTAACCCACACCCCAGTAGGAACCTTCAAACCAAGCCCTTTAGTTGCAGTCCACCACCTCCACACAGAGGACACAGAGAACTGCCTTGAACTAGATGTAAGCCAAGAGCAAGAATCTTCAAGATCCAACCTGATTGCAAGGGATGACACCAACAACCCAAACAGCCTCTGCAATTCCTCTTCCTCCCAAGCCAAGAGATTTCTTCTAAATTGGAGCTGCCACACCCCTTGACTGCTCTTTTTGGCACTAATCTGCTGTAAGGACTCCTCTTTCTCAATGGACAAACTATACAATATGGGAAAATCCTCTTTCAGACCTCTATTAGTGAGCCAAGCATCAGACCAGAATTGTTTCCTCCTCCCATTACCCACTGATATCTTGAAATGGCCACCATAGAACTCACCCAAAGGCTGGTTGACTGAAGTGAGCTGCACAATTTCTTTCCATACTGAGGGCACCCCTTCTGA